AGGAATTCCAATGGTATAGGTGAGGACTTGGTGACCAATTAAATGTGGAGGTAAGCCTGGAGAGAATGTGCTTTCATCTATACGTTTGTTCAAACTAGAAACCTTTGTCATTTATAGAAATAGGGAAGGATGGATGGAACTTGTTGAAATTAAAATACAGTGTGGAACTCTATTGTGTTCATTTGATAGTAATCCAGAATTGAAGAAAATATGCTAATATGGAATCTTAATTAGTGGTCAACTTTGGAGGGTAAGTTTATGAAGAGCAGTTTTTTTTCTAATCTTTGGTTTCCAAATTTTATAAAATATGTAGAAATAAAGGCTTAGAAATAAGGAGTCATCAATTAATATATGTTAAAGGAAGAAGTGCTAGTGGAGAACGTTTTGAAAGCAATAGATATAGTCAAGAAGAAACACCAAAGACGATCATTTCAAGGAGAAGCCAATAATAAGTGTTTTTAAAATTCTATAAAAGGGGGCCAGCAGGGGACATGGTGGTTAAAGTACTGGGTCCCACATGATTGACTCCACAGTTTAAATCCCAGCTTGAAAGTCAGGCCCTATGCTGAAAACCTTACATAAAAAGAGAGAAAAAGAAAAGAAGTCATTTGTTTATGGAAACCTCGTTGCCATTTCAAGATGTACTCAGATCAGTACCCAATTTATTGAAAAGTGGTCTGATAATGTTGGTGACCTTAATGTGGGTCAGAATTACTCCTTAGCAACTAAAAACTACCAGTAATACTAATTAATTTAAATCATCTATATTCTGTAAACACACTCAATTATTTAATTTTAAAGTATTTTTAAGTTTGGTCCTTCATATGTCATCTGATTTTTTTTCCCCCTAAGTATTTGTTGTAGGGCATGTGTGCTGGCCAGAGAGTGAAAGTAAGAAAGAAATCCCGGGGCTAGGAGGTGAGGGGCAGTAAGGTGGGAGAATGTCCATGCTGCATTTCTTTTCTCCTCCATTCTTCTCTTAGGATTTTAGGCCCACACACACATACACCCAGCCTATTTTCCTTGCTGCTGGGTCCGGGACTTGAACCATGCAGTTGGCCATGTGAATTCCAAGTGCTTTAATCACAATGTCAGCTACTGACCCCCTCATTTGATTTTTTAAAAAAGTAATTACAGACTCGGGGTTGGCAGGTGGCATAGTAGTTAAAGGCACTGGACTCCCACATGACCAGCCACGGTTCAAATCCTGAACCTGGCCTGCCTGCCTCCCTCTCTCTCTCTCTCTCTCTCTCTCTCTCTCTCTCTCTCACTCTCTCACTCTCTTAAAATTGAAAAATAATGATAATAAATAGTTCTTTTTTAAAAAAAAGTAATTGTAGACTTACCCTTTTAGATCCACTGAGGAAGATAATATAAATTAATATGGTACAGTATTATGTTTATGATTTTAAAAAGTAAAAAGACTAGACAGGTCCATTTTGGTTTACTGACATGAATCATAGAAGATTTCAAATAGAAATGCATTTGGTTTAGCCAAATCTTTGTATTCTGAATATTCATTTCCTACATAAACTATTTTTTATTATTATTATTTTGGGGGAATTTTAGAGATTTTTGCCATTGGGCAAGTGTGCTTGCCCAAGAGAGAGAAAGTGAGAAATAATCCCCGGCAGGGTGGGGAGGAGGGATGGCCACACCACAATCCCTTCTCCTCCATTATCCTGTTGCGATTTGGGGCATATATGTCTATGTTCCTGTGTGATTGTCTAGCTTCCAAGTCCAGGACTCAAACCACGGTCAGCCATATCAGAGTCTAGTGCTATAACCACTATGCCACCTGCTGGCCCTAAACTATAATTTGCCACAGAGTATGTGTGCTTGCTAGACACAGAGAGAGACCAGGAAGGAA